ATCAATGACCTGGAAGATGGAATGGAGTACAGCTTGAGCAAGTCTGCAGATGGCACCAAGCTGGGGGGAGTACTAGATACCTTAGAGGGTAGGGCTAGAATTCACAGAGACCTCAACCAATTGGAGGATTGGGCTAAAATAAATCTCATGAGGTTCAACAAGGACAAGTGCAAAGTCCTGCACTTAGGATGGAACAATTCCATGCCCCGGTACAGGCCTGGGACTGACTGGCTAAATAGCAGCTCTGCACAAAAAGACCTTGGGGTTATGGTGGAAAATAAGCTGAATATGAACCAACAGTATGCCCTTGTTGCAAAGACGACTAATGGCATACTGGGCTGCATTAGTAGGAGCAGTACCATCAGATCAAGATGATTGTTCCTCTCTATTCAGCACTAATGAGGCCATACCTGGAGTACTGTGTCTAGTTTTGGGCCCCTCATTACAGAAAGGATATGAACAAATTGGAGGACAACAGCAATCGCAGGGGGCTAGGGCACATGGCTTAATAGGAGAGACTGAGAGAACTGGGCTTATTTATTCTGGAGAAAAGAAGACTGTCTATATGAGAAGCTACTGCACAATGGTTACTGCACATTTATTTAGTACTTAATTATACAAGTACTAAATAAATTTGAAGTACCTGAAGTTACTCTGCATAAGCACCGGTGAAAGCTTTTTTAGTGACACTACTGGACAGTAGCCTAATAATACTGCATGGTATTGTATTAGCACTGTTGATGCTGTGATGTGCTACTGTGAGATAGTATTCCACTACTGTGCAGTTAGTGTCTTGTGTAGATGCACTCAGGGGGGCTTCAACTACCTGAAGGGTGGTTCCAAACATGATGGAGCTAGACTGTTCTCAGTGAAATAATGACAGAACAAGGCATAATGGTCTCAAGTTGCAGCAAGGAAAGTTTAGCTTAGATATTAGGAATAACCTTCTTACTAGGAGGGTAGTAAAGCACTGAAACTGGTTACCCAGAGAGGTTGTGGAATTTCCATCCTTGGACCCAGGTAGACAAAGGCCTGCCTGGGATGATCTAGTTGGAGATGATCCTACTTTGGGTAGAGGGTTGGACTACATGACCTCCTGAGGTCCCTTCTAGGGCTGTGTGAAATAACACCATTTTGTTTCGACTTCCATTTTGCCGTTTCAAGGGGACAGTGTTTTGTTTCATCATTTCATTTCATTTCGAAGCACTGTTCCGCTTTGTTTCATCAAAACGGTTTCGCTGCTTCTACAGGTTTCAATGTTTTGCCAAAAGGCTATAGCAGGGAATCATGAAAATACCTAAAATCTTGTCAATTCTTGCCTGATTCAGATTAAAATTGCAGGGATGGTAGCCCCTTCTGAGGGCATGAATCCTGTCAAGTTTCAAGGAGATAGGTGCACAGGGTTCTGGGAAACTACATCTCAAACAGTTGAAAGGAAAACTGCTTTCACTTGCTGGCAACGCTAGCCTCCTGTCATTTCGCATGCAGAACCAGAGGCCTACAGCCCTGGGAGGGTTGCATGACTGTGTCAGACTCCTCCCAGGGGTGCGGGTCCCTGAAATCTGTGTGTGGGATGACAGGAGGCCACCACTGCTGCCTGGGGCCAGCAGCAGCAGCAATCTTCCTGGTGCGAGGTGCAGGCTGCACCCAGCACTGGTCCCACGTGGCAGCAGCAGCCTCCTGTCATCCCACACACAGATCCAGGATGACAGGATTATGCACTCCTCCTTGGGGTGCAGGCTCCTGGATCTGTGTGCGGGATGACAGCAGGCTTCTGCTGCCAGGTGGGATAGGCTCTGGGTGCAGCCTGTGCCAAGCACCAGGAAGATTGCAGCTGCCGCTGGCCCCAGCCAACAGTGGCAGCATGCTGTCATCCAGTGCGCAGATCCAGGGGCCTGCACCCCCTGGGAGGGCTATGGGGCTGTGCCAGACTCCTCCTAGGGGGCGCAGGACCCCAGATCTGCACGCAGATGACAGCAGGCTGCCGCTGCCAGCTGGGACTGGCACTGAAGCCATGCAAGCCCAGCTTTGAAACTCAAAATGTTTTGAAACTTCCCAAATGTTTCAAGTGCCCTTGTTTTGTTTTGAAGCCTTTTGTTTCATTTTGATTTTGCTGTTTCAAGCTCAGAACCCATTGAAACAGCTTTGAAATATAACACCTGGTGAAATTTCACACAGCCCTAGTCCCTTCTAACTCTAATTGTTTATGATTCTATGGGGTGATCATGCTGACCCTGAGTGTGTGCATGTGTGTGTGAGGGGAGAGGGGTGGCAAGCCCCTCTATTCAGGAACCTCTAGGTTTTAGTCCCAGTAGAAACACTGTCATGCCTCAGTCAAGATCCTGAGCTCCCAATGCTTCTAAGAAAAAAATGAAACCTCCAAATCCTGTAGCAGGAGGAGGTGAAAAAAATCCCTTCCCAGCCTCACGTGGCAACCAATGAAGCTCATAAGCTTCAGCTCTGCAACCTGGGGACAGCAAGCATAGCTCCACCCTGGGTAGCCAGAACACTGCTTTCTGTATCCCCTACGTAATCTTATTCTAGCTCCTTTAATCTTCTTTCATAACTAAGCTAGTTCTGGAGCTCTGCTTCATTCTCCTGCTGCTGAGTATTGTCACTTCCAATATCCACCTGCTTTAGGCTACAGAGCTCTTCTCATTATCTCCCAGCAATCCATATGTGGTTGGGCTTCTAATTGTTGTTCTTTACAGAGCACTCCAGGCACATAGATATTCATAGATCATATCATGGAGGTGAAGAAAATTCTAGAGCTCATGAGTATACCTTTGATATAGTTTTTCAGAAAAGAATGTTAAAAAAATAGTGTCAGAGCTGTATATAGTTAAGTTTTGATCAAGCCCTTTTTTTCTACTTCTACTCTAGCATACAAATTTTAGATGGTACGTATCTACCATAACAAGAACAGGAATATTTCTATCTAGCTACAATTTTAAATGGAAGTTAATAACCTTTCTGTATTTAATTTTTCATGATATTCAGTGTGATGTACTGTGTTAGACCATATGTCAGAAGACTAAGAGTTCAATCCTATTAGTCTCTGACACTGGGCCAGTAACTTTGTCACTATGAGGGTGATCAAGCACAGGAACAGGCTACCTAGAAAAGTTGTGGAATCTACATATTTGGAAATTTTCAAGAGTAGGTTGGCTGCGATAGTTCAGCTGGGGATGATTCTGCTTTAAGCGGGGGTTTAAACCACATGATGTCACAAGGTCTATTCCAGCCCTTCTTTCCTACAGTCCTAAACCTGGAGATACCTTAAAAAGAACAAGTGAATGTAATGTAACCAACAAAGATTTGAGATTAAAAAAACTGTGCTGTAATTATTACAGTTCATAGAAGATACTTCTGTAACCAGATTGTTATCGAGAGAGGGGATTGAATGGTAAAATGATAAAAGGACCATAATAATGTAAATTACAAATTGGAGGATTTAATAGTTTCAGAAATTCTATATTATAAAAACTACTTAGGGCTTAGTTACACATTACACTGTGAGCTGTAAAAATGTTGATCAGCTTTAGTGCAAACTTGCAGTCACATCTTCAATTTGAGTGGCACATCTGTGAGGAGTGGCCACACGTTAATGGAACAGCAGCTGGGTTATGCAGATTAAGAGATAATCCTGCCCTGCAGTGGTGTAATTTTGAGCTGCATAACAAGTGCTTTAAACCTCTTAAAGGTGTTACCATGCAGACAATTCAGGGGTTAAGACCTCTAGGAGCCACCCAAATTAACACGTACCAAGGCCCTTATTATATTACTTTATTGAAATCTTCCTCATTATTACAGTCACTATTGTCTTTCTCCACCAGTGCCCTGCTTTCTCCATTATTTCACTGTGCTACATGGTTTGTTCTTTATGATTTCTAAGTGCCACACCTGCAGTGAAATAATAAAATACAGTCAGCACCCTTATGGAAACCAACTACAGCTTAAGCAAAGCATTTTGTGTCATGAATTGCACCTTTTTTAAATCTAGTTTCCAGTGATATAATATTAAAATTCTGCATCCGGCTGGTACCTATTCAACAATCAACTTGCTAGAAGAAAAATTATTTGATATCATATTTTTATGGAAAGAGCTCCTGAATCCTAGCGAGCAGAAATATTTCCATTTTGCCTTGAAAGTGTGTGTTTAGAATCAGTCACAATGACCAGCAGTTAGGATGTTAAATAAACAAATCTTAGCTGGCAAATCTCAGCTTGTAGGGTGCTAGTTTATTGTCAAAGTGGGAAGGAAAGGATTATTTTCCTTTCATATATAGTACTATACATATCAACAGACATTTTAGAATTTACTCAGTCTAATTCAGAGGATAGTGGAAGTGACACAAGATTACCTAATTCACTTCTTCACTGAAGAAAATGATGCCTTCCAGTCATGTGGTCAAAGGAGACTATGGTCATAAAAGCACGATAGATTTATTTTTCGGAAAGCTGTATTTTAAAGGAACAGGATTTTTTTTAATAGGATGTTCTACAAGCATGCAGACAGACAACGGTTATAATTGAAACTTATAAATGAAACAAAATGCCCACACTGATATATCACTGATATACTTTTTAGCATGCTTGGTACCATCTTTAATTGTTGCTCATGGTTTAGATACCATGGTGATAAGCACCTCTGAAATACCTGAGGCAGGCAGTCATGAAAGACTTTACTGGAAATCTTTTTGTTCCGTTTTCAATACCCTTGTCTTGAATAAGAAGGTAATTACCCTACAAATTGTCATGCCTCGGGATTCATTCTTTTGCTAATTAGCGTTTCTCTCTATAGCAAAACACGTTTAATGGATTTTTTGTTTTGTGGATTTTTTTTTTTAGTATTTAGACTTTATCTGGTTTGTTCTGACATCCTTTTCAGTAATTCTCATAAGCTATATGAATATTCACTTGTCAGGAAAGGTCAGACTTCATGTTCAGTATCTAAAACAAATGTCATCTCCCAAGCATTCATCTTTTTAAACTTTCAGGTACCTGATGAAGTATCCCTCTCTCTGACTCAGTGACAACAAAAGGACAGATTCTCTCATCTTTACTCACAGTGAGTAGTACTGTCCCCTCAGGTACTTCCTGTAAATTGTGCCACTACTTGCAGGGTAAAATACTTTTAGTATTGATCTGGATACCTGACCTGTCAGAATCATGCTCTTAATTAATATTTGAGACAGTTTCAGTTAATTCCAGGGGAAAAAAGCATCAGATAAATTCTCACAAAAAATAGATCTGCAGCATCAGATTGAGACAATGTTCAGCAATATTTTGACAACATTTGGAAGTTCCAGACAGTCTTATTTTCCAGTCTTTAGGACCAAAAAATTCTGTGATAGACAGCTACAAATAAAAAAATATCTTGGCATTTACTGGAAGACACATTTAAGAGCAAAGGGAACAACACTATTTTTCAACCCCTAATGGAAAAAAATTGTTTCAGAGACATACGTATATTGCCTCTCTTCCATGTGTCATTAAGTACGATAATCTATTTATCATATCCAACATATAATACAAATGTTATACATTACAATAAATTCTTATACTTTTTCAAGCAATATTACTTTTATTTTCTATTATGATTTCCAGGATACACCATAAGATATTAAATGTACTGGCAATAGTGAACTCAGACTTTTAGTTTGGAATCATAATTATAATAAGTAATCACCTTGGAATGAATGTGACCGGGAAATAAAAAGATTAACAATACAAATTCTAATTCTCATTACTCGTTTAAAGTCAGCTTAAATATGAGCCACTAAGAAATCCCATTTGGAAAGAACAGAATGTGCTTTTATAGTTTTGTGGTAACAGGATTAAAATTTTATTAGCCGATTTCCCTCTACTTTACAGGGCAGGCACCTGACTTGTCAGATCCAACACCATTATGTTATTTGCTAGATGTACACCTAGCAAAATCAATCTACTTCTTTATGGTAGACTTTACTGAGACTTAAAATACATATGTTTACAGAAGAGAGGCAAAATAATGTAAAATTGGCTACTACAATACTTACTGTCTCAATTAGAAGGGAACTACGGACGAAAAGATTTCCCTGCATATGGTATGGCAAAACAGCAACTCACCCATTTGTGGAAGCCCATAAGGAAATGAAACTCAAACCCTCCAAAAAGGAGAGGAAAAATGTATTTTTAAAGTGTTGATTTGAAAAGTGGCTCAGGGGACTTCCTCAGGTTGCCATTAATGCTAGTGCAAATATTCAATCAGATTCATAAGACACTGAAGAAAGAAATGGCATTCTAGCATGCTCTGTCTACTTTTGCCTTCTGCTGTGGGTCTGTTACCTACAGAATTTCAATGGAGGGGCTCAGAGCAGATGTGTCTGCTGAAGTGAGTTCATCTGAATAATGTCCTATTTGCTCCCCCAAACAGAATTGATTACTGAAGCCTCAGTGGATAAAAGTTAAGTAGATTTAACATCAGTTTTTCTGTAATTAAAATCAAAGAGTAAAATCTAGGTTCTTTTGATTGGTAGTGGGGGGGCGGGGGAGAGAGAGAGAGGCCTGGAATTGCAGGGAAGTGTCTTTGATAAGTCTTCTTCCCTTGAGTTTCACTCTCCTAGTTTATTTCCTCCCCTTCTGCGCAGCTATCTATTGGCACCTATATGACAGCCTTCTGCTCTGATGCATGCTAATTAGATTAAGAGTGTCTGCTGTAAGTCTGCTGGAGCATCATAATTAGCGCTCTCCAGCAGCCTCTGCATCATGTGTATTCAGTGTCCTTGCATTTCAAAATGGTGGCAAGGGTGCTTTAATTAAAGCTCATCAAAAAGGCTTTAGTTGAAGCACCCTGCCACCATTTTGAACTGCAGGATGCTGAATTAACATGATATTGTGGGTGCTTTAATTAGAGCAGCTCTCAGAGTCACCTTAATTAAAGCACCCACTCTCCACCCTATAGTATGTGTATAGATGCATATGAGAAAGGCAGAGACTGAGTCTGCAAAGAGCTATGCTATTCCTCCTTACTTTGGGTGTTTAAAAGGAGAAGGAGGTTGTTCATGATCAAAACACTAGCTTTATTCTGAGCTAGTATTTCTTAGGCAAATTTGATGTTGGCATGGAGCTTTTCGCTCAAAACTGAATGTAATGGATTGCAGATGGAGAGTCTGGTAACTTAACAGGATTCAGGCTGAGTTTCAAGGGCTTAGGCACTGGACATAGAAAAAACAACATTTGCACTAAGAGAATGCAAATGGCAGTGCATTCACATCATTCTTTACAATGTAAAGTGCATTTATTTATTAATTTATCATAATCAAATGTAATAGTTAGAGATACAATTGTGGGTTTTGCTACTACCATAGAAACCGTGGCAATTTTAGTTATCTGCATACAGTTTAAACAGCCTAACTTGAAAACAAATACCATGCATGCCTTATTTTTACAGGTAAACAGTAATTGCCAAGGCAAAATAGGCATGAAATAACTTCATCAGTAAAAGTCTTCTGATAATTAAAATAGGTCATCTTAGACAATACCAGATGGCTGAGATAAAGACAACAGCAGTGGTTTCAAAAAGCTTGGTTAGGCAAGTTGATTCACCTTCAAAAATGTACAAAGATACTGAAAATAAATCACAACCACTTTGCTTCAGTGGTTCTAACTAATTTAATTTCTTGATTAACTGAAAAATATACACTCATTAGTTATTCATTTTTCAGAATAATTAACACCATTCTAATAGTTTTTGAACAGAATCTACCCACTGCCGTTTTCTGTTTCTCTTATTAGGAGGCTCAGACTACCTGGTGACCAATTGCTAGATGAAATAAACTTTCAGTGGTCAGTTATATATCATCACTGATTCGTCTTTTAAGTCCTGGGGCTTAGTAACTTTACACATTTTGATCTAACCTTATCAGCACAGATAATAACTTATATTTCCATAAATTATTAATCCTTTCAAGGCAAAATTCTGACTGGCATTAAACCAACTCTGAAAATGGTATGCTACAAAATAAATATGCAATATGTCAATATGATTGTTGTGCTTGCACCATCTAGGATAGCAGATTTTTATCTATATCAATGATTCTCAATGGGAGTGCCATTACACTCTGAGGTGCCTTGAGATTCTTTCAAGGGTGCAACACAATTTAGCACTGTTATGTGTTCAAACATGATTCACAAGGTAAACCAAGAGATTTCAAAATAGGAATCCATAGTGTTGAAAACATTCTGACCTGCTGTGATGTTTCTGAGGACTTAGCAACAGAAAAAAAAATCTCTATTATTTTTCGATAGTTCAAAAACAAGCTAATACTAAGACCTAGCATTTTCCAAGGGGTACCTTGAGTCTTTCAAGGAGTGCCCTTTGAATCTACTGAGGGATGCTTTGAGTCCAAAAAAGGTTGAGAACTACTGATCTGCTTAGGGCCAGATTTTAATTCACCTCTTAGATAAGTAAATAAGATCCTTTTCCACCCTGCTTGAGTCCCTAAAAACAATTCACACAAGAGTTGGATAGGCTTTCCTCCTGCTTGCTGCTTTTGTAAATTAGGCTTGAGGCTGAGATGATGGCATGTTACGAATGTGTTAATGTTATTTCAGGGACTTGAGCACTTAAGTGCCTAGTAGAGGAGGAGCTGTCCCTTTTAGACAGTGGATATTTTGTTAAATTCTAACCTTAGTCCTAAAATCAGGAATTCAGTATGGATTTTCCTGAAAAGTGTCTAAAAAACACATATGGTTTTATTAAGTACATCAACCCCTTAATCCTCAGGCATTATCAGTTATTTCAGATCAGAAAATTCTCCCTCTCCAGGAAAGGTAAGGATCAAAATCTTTTGTTGCAACTGCATTGCTTATATTTAAATGATTCCTTGTAAGAGACATTAAAAAAGAACAAACATTACCCCAGAAATGGAGAAAAGACATTGCAAAAAGCAAGAGCATTGGCAACAAACTCTGCATGCTTTTCTGAGTTGGTGGGAGCTTGAGAACATCTTTTTAACATTTTAGTACAAATTAACTAAATTTCTGTGCAATTCCCTCTCTTCTCAACAGATGTCCAGAGCACTATTCTAGGTCTGAATTCTGGATACTCCCTGCTCTTGAGATGGCAGGGTTTATTTTTCCATAGACCTGCCAAGCATCTCAGGCTTTTGCCTCCATGCTTCTGCCTCCTGCCTTTAAGCTGCAATTTCTCATTTCTTCAGCATTATTATGTGCAATACTCTGCCTCCTGCCAGATATTAGTTTGGGACAAATCAACTTTTTAGTTAAACTAGTGAGACCCTAGTGAAACAAAGGTAAGCCTGTACTAATATAAGTTTGGCAGAATTTGGCCCATAAGATTTTATTACATTCAATTCCTTTTAAGAAATTCACACAACCATTTAAGGGCCAAATTATCATAGACTATTTTAGGTAAGATTATTTCCTGAAAGTTGTTAGTTTACAGCTATTGGATGGACTCACTGTAATAGTTTCATAGTTTCATAGTTTTAGGGTCGGAAGGGACCTAATAGATCTTCTAGCCCGCCCCCCCGCCAGGGCGGGAGAACAACAAAAGAACCCTAAACAAAAAAACGGGACTCAAATGAGTCCAGCCAGGTAGGTATCCAGCCTCTTCTTAAAGATCCCCAGGGTAGGGGCCAGCACCACCTCCCTTGGAAGTTGGTTCCAGCTCCTAGCCGCCCTAACTGTGAAGTAGTTTTTTCGGATGTCCAATCTGTACCTCCTCTCCATCAACTTGTGCCCATTACTCCTTGTTATGCCAGCGGGGGCTAGGGGAAACAGCGTCTCCCCCAAACCCTTCTGGTTCCCCCTAGTAATCTGCTCTGCAGGTTCCGTTAGCCTTCCTGGTATCAGATGGCAGCAGTGCATAGGGCAGCCCATGGTCAGCCTGTAACCCAATATCAAGACTGTGATGGAGGAATGTTCACGACAAGGTCCTGTTAGCCCTGCCAACCATGACCTCGCATTGTCGGCCCATGTTCATCTTGGAGTCAATAATGACACCAAGATCCCTTTCCGCCTCCGTGCTCTCAAGTAGGGAGTTCCCCATCGTATAAGTGTGCTGCTGGTTCCTACTACCCAAGTGCAGCACCCTGCACTTGTCCGTATTGAAACACATCCTGTTCCTGTTTGCCCACCCCTGTAACCTATCCAGATCCTTCTGCAATCTCTCTCTCCCTGCTAGCGTGCTCACCTCCCCCCCCAAATTTTGGTGTCATCAGCGAATTTAAACAGGTTGCTTTCCACCCCAACATCAAGATCGCTGATGAAGAAATTGAACAGCGCAGGCCCCAGGACCGAGCCCTGGGGGACTCCACTACCCACCTCCCCCCAAGTCGAGTATGATCCATCCACCACCACCCTCTGAGTGCGACCCTTCAGCCAATCTGCAATCCATCTGACTGTGTAGGCATCTATGCCACAGTCGCCTAGTTTATTAATTAGGATGGGGTGAGAGACGGTGTCAAAGGCCTTACTGAAGTCCAGAAAGACTACATCTTTGTAATAATGACTGGTAGAATTTATCCAGTGGATAAACCTATCTAATCTATCTGTGCATCCCCTCTTTTGAACTTTTTCTACTTAGTAAGATTCTAAATCAGCAGTCAGCAACCTTTTCAGACTGTGGGATGGAACAATCCAACTTGGATATGAGGCAGGAAGGTGCCATGACTTGTCCGCTGCTACTGCTTCTCCCTGCTGTAGTATGGGAAAAGCCCCTGCCACTGTTGCTTCTTCCCAGAATTGCATGGCAGAAGCCTCCAAAACTGAATGCCACGGACTGTGCTGAAACCCTCAACCACTGAATACTGCTAAAGCTCCACATCTTCAGGCCAGATCCAATGGCTCTATGGGCTGGATCTGGCCCATAGGCTGTAGGATGTCAGCCTCTCTCTAAAACTCTTTATGTAGAATGAGAGCAGCTAACAATCATGTCTTTGATCCATAGGCCACCACAAACTTTAATAAAACTGATAACGTGTGCCAAATGCCCTTTATTCAACCCCAACTGGAAGGAGCAGTCATGAGTAAAGTACTAAAAGAGAGCAAAGACTAAGCTATTTGGAATACAGGACTGGCTAGAAAGCATGCAAACAGGGAAAACTTCCTTCTTTTGATTGCTCCTACTTCATTTAAGGAAGCAAAACACTGTGTTTTATATTTTTGTAATAAACGGAATAGCATGAAAAAACACTAGACTTATATTGTACCACATTGTATTCTATATCAAAAAATCCTCAATATATGGCTAAGATCTTAATATATAAGAAGCAAGGATTTTCTGTGAGATTTTTTACTGGACCAACTGTACAGTTGACAGAGTTGCTGGACAAGCTTTTGGGCATTAAGTGCCCTTTTTCACATATGAGAAAGAGGCAGATGCAGACTGAGCTACACAGCAGAGAAAGGACTCCATGGAAATGTAAACAGACTGATTGGTGGAATGAAAGAAGACTCAACTAGGAGTGAAGAGGTGTTATCAGGAGCAGGTACAAAAAAAAGGCTTAAGAGCTCTATATTAAGATGGTCTTCTCTATTTAGCTATAGAACAGATAAAACAAATAGAACACAGACATTGTAAGTACAGGCTTCATACTGCAGTCCCAACTTGTAAGGAATATAATCATTTTCCATATCACATTCATTTCTTGCTAACATTGTGATAAAAATGCAAAATGCCTAAGTTGTTATGATGTGAGCATTTATCCACTGGATAAATTCTACCAGTCATTACAGTGAGTCCATCCAATAGCTGTAAACTAACAACTTTCAGGAAATACCACTGATGGATGAGCTTCAACTGGAAACCTGAAAGGGCCTAATGAGAAATAATTTAATGTAAATTAGGTAAGTCAAACTGTGTTGCTTTCTTGTTTAGAGCAGCAAAAGTTATACAAGGTATACGACTGTAGAGATTAGAACCTTTAATGTATGAAGAATCAAATTGAGAACAGATCATTAGCATTAAAAGTTAAAATGACAGTGTTCAGCCCAAATCTTTAAAAAAATTATAAGCGCAGCATGTTGGATTGAACCTCCTATGAAATATAGAATACCATAAAATAATACACCGTGCTATATTAAAAAGAGACACATTTTATAAAACTTAATTTTATAAGCCTTTAACTACAATGTGGCATTAATAGAAAATTAAGTATTTTTTTCATATCGTCTTTTCTGGGTCTTCTATAAACTGGCATGACCGGAAATGATATTTTTTGTGGAAATTTACATTGTCTTTTTTTTTTTATTGTAGATCTTGTACATCTCAAGAACAAAAAAGCTGGATTCAGTTCCTTTATATCATTCTCCTAGTGTAGAAAAACAAGGTGCATGAAGACTCAGAGTAGTATCTAGAAGCTCATTGTCCTGTTATATCACTGTCATGCATACCCTGGGCCTCTCTTGGAATTCTGTGAAGCACTGTGCTCCATGGGACTCATGGGAAGCACAACTGCTTGGTGAAGAATGAGAATGTACAGTGACCCTTCAGGGCTAACTGACTTTGGAAATAATTTTCAGAACACAGTCCTTTGCAGCACTGTGTGAACACTGCAGCATTGTGCTTGTGCCAGATGCAACAATATTCACCTGAATGCAATTAAACTACATATTGTTTAATAGTTCATCTAAATGCTTCTTGTTTGCCTTTTAATTACCCAAGCTGAGAAAGAAATTTTAAAGTTATAAGACATTTTATAGCAAAACACAATAGATATTTAAAATGTTTCCACTTTTTTTGTAAGACACATCACTTGGAACAGATTTAAGAATTAAAAAAGTGTTAGAAACTTTCTAAACAACTGCTGGACCCTGTTGTAGCTTAGACAAATCTTTGAAAAATCTCTCTTGTGGGACAAATCAATTCAAAAGCTTGTTATAAAGCCACTTTTGCAGAATTAGGAGTCCTTAATATCGTTGACTTCGTTCTTTATTAATGGCTAACCATAAAAAAGGCATAACTGGTTCTGTATACAAGATTATCTCTGCTTATCAGAGAGAGCTAACACCCCAAATGCAGTGTACCACTATATAGAAGGTCAAGATGAAAGACTTGGTCATTCTCTTCAAAGCTATCCATGGAATTAGCCCGAATTACATAAAGGATGGTCTCATCCTTCATGATAATGAATTATCTCCCAAGGCAGTATGTGGCACTGAAACAATGTGACTCTCAATCTCAAGAGTGCAAGTTATATCTGCAGGAGGTAGAGTTTCATGGCACAAACTTGGAGCTTAGTTCTAGCCAAACACCCAGATGATAACCAGAATTTATTAACAGAGGTGTATCTCAGATGAACTGGTTGGCGATGTTACTTTTAAATAATGTATTGGTATGGCCACTAGCAGAATAACTGCCTAATTGTGAAACGCATACCTCAGAAACACTCTGGTCCAGTAGATATCATAGAATCATAAAGCAGAAGGACCAGAAGGGACCTGTAATATCATTAAGTCCAATCCCCTGCCATGGGCAGGCGGTAATTGGGTTCAAACAAACTCCACAAGGTACTTGTCCAGTCTCCTCTTGAATACCTCCAGGGATGGCAACTGCACCACATCTGCTGGGAGTGTGTTCCCGATTCTAGTTATTGGTATGTACTGGTGGCCATACCAATACATATGGAAAATAAGTTTTTCCTTATGTTGAAAATATTTTTTTCCTCAATTACCTTGGGCCCACTGGACCTCGTCTTCTCAAGGGGTGCCTTTCTGAAGAGCTGCTTCCCTAGATCTTGGTGTTCACCCCTGACATACTTGTAGGTGGCTATCAAGTTGCCTCTCAGTCTTTCCTTACTCAGACTGAACAGGCCCAGTTCCTGGAGTCTCTCCTCATAGGGCCTACTCCCCAGGACCCTGATCATGTGGGTGGCCCTTCTCTGTAGTCTTTTAGGCCTATCCACATCCTTTTTGTAGTGCAGTGCCCAGAACTGGACACAGTACTCAGCTGTGGCCTCACCAATGCTGAATAGAGGGGGAGGAGCACCTCTCTGGATCTATTGGCAACATATCAGCTGATGCATGCCAGAGTTCTATTTGCCCTGCTGGCGACTTCATCACACTGATGGCTCATATTCATTCTTTGGTTGATTGTCACCACCAGGTCCCTTTTAGATGCAGTGCCAGCCAATGGGCCTCCCCCCATTGTATTGTTATGGTGAAGGTTCTTCCTACCCAGATGAAGGACCTGGAAATTCTGCCTGCTGAACCTCATCTAATTCTGCTCTGCCCATAGGACCAACCTGTCAAGATCATCCTGGATACTTGCCCTGCCCTCAGATGTGCCTGCATTTCCCCACAGCTTGGTGTCATCTGCAAAACTTAATCATTGCACTTCCTACTCCCTCATTCAGGTTATTAAAAATGTTAAAGAGTATGGGCCCAAGCACTGATCCCTGGGGACACCACAGGAAATGGCCACCCCGTCAATTACAATTCGCTAGGATTGGCTGCTGAGCCAGTTGCCAACTCATTTCACCATAGCTTGGTCTAAGCCAGTACCCTCCAGATTAAGTGAGAGAATCTCATGGGTAACTGTGTCAAAGACCTTGCTGATATCTAGGCAGATGATGTCCACCTCATGCCCCATCTCCAGCTGGTTAGTTACCAGGTCATAAAAGGATACCAAGTTTGTTAGGCATGACCTCCCCTCAACAAAGCCATGCTGGTTGTTTCTCAGTACCCCACCAGTTACGAGATTGTGGTTGATGGTTTCCTTTATGATTTTTTCAAAGGTTTTTTTCCAGGATCGAACTCAGACCGACCAGCCCATAGTCTGCAGGGTCATCCCTCTTCCCTTTCTTAAAGATGGGCACCACATTAGCATTCTTCCAGTCGTTCGAGACCTCTCCTGAGTTCGATGATTCTTCAAACAGCCTCGCCAGAGGCACCACTATGGGTTTGGCCAGTTCTTTCAGGACTCTTGGGTGCAGGTTGTCTGGCCCAGCCGACTTGAAAACATCCAAATGCTCTAAGTGTACCTTTACCTGTTTGGGGCTGATTTTATGTGGATTACTGTCATCACTGTATTCTCTGGGTCTCTGGACAGGTGACGAGTTCACGTCTGGTTTCAAGAATACTGATGTGAAGTAAGAATTAAGGAGCTCAGTTTTTTCACAGGGATCAACTGTGGGCTCCCCCTCCGTAGGTACTTGGTAGCGTACTTGAGTACTCACATCTCAGTTTTACTTCCTCTGCCTGTCTCACCATGTCTTCAGCTTGTCTTCTTATGCTGCTGATGTAGAGTGGCCATATGTCCCAGACTGGCTTGGACGGTTCTGGATTTCAGAGGTTGGTGCTAGCCATTTGGTGACAATTTTAATTGTCCCAGGAGCGGGCTGTGGGACGCACAGGCAGAGCAGCAGGAACTGTGAAATATGAAGACCTAGCAGACAGCAAAAATGTCTATTAACACTAATTGTTACTTCACAGGTGATTGTTGATAACCCATTGTTCTTTACTTCACAGGTGTTAACAGGCCATTAACTCCCTGCAGTGAGGGGGGAGTGGGGGCAGGCAGCATCCTGGATTTCACATTGTCCCATATGGTCACCCTATGCTGATGGGACTACACCGATATAATTTCTCTGGGCTGAACTACCATTGGCAAAACAGCTTCCTGTGAGAGACCCTATAAATGCCTGACTGAAACTATCTTAGCTGAGAAACATCAGGAACTTGCTGATGCCTTTCATAAGGAACCAAACCCTTTTCTACTCCACAGACAGCACAACTACTCCACAGACATACAGATAGCAATCTGAAACAAATCAGTTAACTCACCTACAAACCAGTTCCCAAAGTTCACTTAACAGCAGCCCTATTGCTCTTCTTATCCAATAAGGAAGAGAAAGGTGGGGTCAGCCTGCTACCCCTGATAGCCAAATAGTAGAGGCAGGACTTCCTATTGCTGCTGCTGGCAGCACTACTTGAATCTAGGGCAGTCTCCTATACATCGTACATGTATCTTTTTGAGTTGGTTTGTTGGAATGCCCATACAAAGTCAGAGGCATGAAGAAAATGGCTTGTGATTATGCATATTCCTCTGGTTCACACCTTTCTAATCTAATAACAGATTCCTCTGAAAACATTTTGAGTCCAAAATGTGTCCAATTATGTCCCCTTGAATAGTTACAGATAGTGGAGGCAATCTGGATAAGGTTGCTAATCAACGGATTTAAGGAACACATGTGAAAAACAGGCTGAATTGTCAATGGCCTGTGGATTAAATCTCTAACTGTGAAACTGCAGTGAGAGGGTGAATGATATTAATAAGTGGACTTTGCCCCTCTTCTGTGCAGCCAGAGAAGTACAGGCCCTGCAGCCATACCAGTGTCCCCATGCCTCCATTCTGATATGGAAATAAGTTTCCTCACTTAGGATGTACTTCAGTTTTGGAGGGTCAGTTCTGGGGGGAGAAAAGGTGCATGTACCATGCAAGCAAATATAGTACTTGCTCATTTATCTCAAGGTCTCAGATGTTGGTAGTTCAGTTTAGATCAGGCTTGTCCAACATACAGCCTATGGGCTGCCATGCAGCTCGCCAATTCATTTTATCTGGCTCAAGGCACCTGCTCTGCACTCCACGGCAGTGGCGGCAGGGCAGCTGCAAGGCGAGGTGGGCAGGGCTGGCCCATGGGCCTCAGTCGCCAGCGAGGGGAGGGGAGCTGCTTACCCCCGCGGGACCGGGCTCATCAGTGAGCCGGGTCCTGCGCCACTGCCCCAAGGGCTGCACGGTGCGGGGCTGCCCCAGCCGCGCCTGATTAGATGAGCTGGGGACAACGCGTGCAACTTCTTCTCTGGCTCCACCCCTTGCCCCCGGCGTGTGGCCGGGGGAGCTGCAGCATGGCCCATGCCCTGCCCGCATTCGTGGTGGACAGAGGAACGAGGTAAGATCCCATGCAGAGCTGCGGGCACCTTGGGGGCCAGGCCGGGGTGGACGGAGGCATGGGGTAAGTTCCCACGCGGAGCTGGGGGCGCCTCGGGGCCGGGCCGGGGCTGCAGGGCGCACGGTTGCCAGAGCTGGGCTGGGCGGGAGGCAGGAGGAGCCCGGCCCAGAGGCTGCATTTGTCCCTCAGACCGGGACATCCAAGATGGAGAGATACAAGGGAGGGCACACATGCACACACATGTGCACATACACACACATACACACATGCATGCACGCTGAAGTGTATGGCAGTGAGCAGAGCCAGAACAGCTGTCAGGAGCACAGTGCCTTTCTCACCACAGCCAGGACTGCAGACTGGGGTGCTGGCCAGACTGGGGGCTCTGCATGGGTTCTGTCTGACTCACACCTCTGGCCCTGTCCCTGTCCCCATACTGACACCTGCAGCTGCATCCTGGCCATGAGTCCCTGGCGGGCCGGGGGCAGCCAACCCCAGCCTCACATTCCCCTCTCTGCTTAGGGCAGGATGTGGCCAGGCCAGACTGGGCTCTCCACGTGGGACTGCAATGCGGCTGACTTTGACTGAGCCCAGCAGCACACAGCCAGGATGCAGCAGCAGGTGCCAGAATGG